TGACGTGGTTTTAATGCATTCTGTTTTAGGCCTATTTAGAATTAAAGCCAAATTTTGGCCACGGGTTTGTTTCCAGGTAAGCGTGGAGAAAATCACCCCAATCAGTATAAAAATGCTGATTTAAGAAACTTGGGAGGGAGAGAGAGAGACTTAATATACAGTATGTCACTCCCAAATATCCACGGTGAATATGATTACTGTTGTCTGTAAACTTAAGAGTCTCCAAGCGTATTTACTAAAAAACTTATCGTCCTTATTTCACGTGTTCTTCTTCCAAGAAGGAATTTGTCTTATTTTTCCCATGAGGGAAGGGTGGAAATCTAAGGAATGGGAAGCAAGGACTGGACCAAGAGAATGAAGTTATCTTTGAGACTCGGATCCAAATGGGATCTCTTTCATTCTTCTTTAACCATTTAACAGTAAAGGAGAGGGAATCCAGATGCAGAAGTCATTAAGTCACTTTAAAGCATTTATTTCTCAGCTCATGTATCCCAAAGGTGCTTTTTCAAAAGGTAACTGGACTTTTGTTTTTCCTTCAAGATGTTTTGCTTCTCATCCAAGAAGCTTCTTCAGTTCAAGCTTCTTGAATTAGAATGGAATGGAATGGAATAGAATAGAATAGAATAGAATAGAATAGAATAGAATAGAATAGAATAGAATAGAATAGAATAGAATAGAATAGAATAGAATAGAATAGAATAGAATAGAAAATATGGAATGGAGAATAGAATAGAATAGAATAGAATAGAATAGAATAGAATAGAATAGAATAGAATAGAAAAAAGAAAATATAGAATGGAATGGAATGGAATGGAATAGAATAGAATAACAAATTATGAAATAGAATTGATTAGAGAAAGAATAGAACAGAATAGAATAGAATAGAATAGAATAGAAAATAGAAAAGAACAGAGTAAAGTAGAATATAGAATAGAAAATAGAACAGAACAGAACAGAAAATCAATCAATCAGAATAGAATCTGGAAGGGACCTTGGAGGTCTTCTAGTCCAGCTCAAGCAGGAGAACCTATACCATCTCAGACAAGTGACTGTCTAGCCTCTTCTTAAAGATCTCCAGGGATGGAGCGCCCACGATTTCTGAAGGCAACTTCTCTTCCACTGGTTAATTGTCCTCATTGTCAGGAAGTTTCTCCTTAATTCCACGTTGCTTCTCTCTTTGGTCAGTTTCCATCCATCGTTTCTTGTCTTGCCTTCTGGTGCTTTGGAAAATAAAACTGAAATAAGTTCAAAGTCCAGCTGATTTTTGAAAAATCACCTTTGGGACGACCATGGTCCTGGATGACTGAGAATCTCCATAGACTCTCAGCTCAAGAAACAATGGTTGGAAGCTGGTCAAAGAGAGAAGCAACCTGGAATTAAGGAGAAACTTCCTGACAGTGAGGACAATTAACCAGTGGCCTCCAGAAATCGTGGGTGCTCCATCACTGGAGGTCTTCAAGAAGAGACAGGACAGTCACTTGTCTGAGATGGTATAGATTCTCCTGCTTGAGCAGGGGGCTGGACTAGAAGACCTCCAAGGTCCCTTCCAGCTCTATGCTATTCTACTATTCTCATATAGTAGATCTGAGAATAAATTAGCATGACACCACTTCTATCAAGTCTCAGTTCCTCGCACCAATGACAAGGTAGCTATTAAGCAATAACCTGCCCTCACAAAGACTTTTTTAATCCAGCTGGACAAGCTATCTTTCTTTTGGAAATTACAAGGGATGGGGAAAAACAAGCCATTAAGTGGCTGCTCCAGACTGAGGTGAAAACATTTCCCTGGAAAACCCCCCCCCACAAAAAAAAGGTGAAAAAACGTATCATTCAGATGTCTCTAGACCAGGGGTCTTCAAACTTGGCCCTTTGATGACTTGTGGACATCAACTCCCAGAATCCCTCAGCCAGGCACGTTGGCTGAGGAATTCTGGGAGTTGAAGTCCACTCCTCTTAAAGTCTGTATCAGGGGTCTTCAAACGTGGCCCTTTGATGACTGGTGGACTTCAGCTCCCAGAATCCCTCAGCCAGGCATGCATTCCTGGCTGAGGAATTCTGGGAGTTGAAGTCCACCAGTCATCAAAGGGCCACGTTTGAAGACCCCTGGTCTGGATCCAAGCCCACAGTTTCATCAAAATGGCCGACTGAGGAATTCTGGGAGTTGAAGTCCACCGGTCATAAAAGGGCCAAGTTTGAAGGCCCCTGGTCTGGATCCAAGTCCGCAGATTCATCAAAATGGCCGACTGAGGAATTCTGGGAGTTGAAGTCCACCAGTCATCAAAGAGCCAAGTTTGAAGACTCCTGGTCTGGATCCAAGCCCGC